ATGAGTGGGTATCTTCCCAGCTGGGAGAAGACCTGGCTCTGGAAGGGGCGCCCCTTTGTGCTTCAAGAGGCGGGAGGGGGCAGTGAGACCCCAGGCTCTCCGGCTCTGTCTTCCTCCCCCCGTTGCTGCTCTAGGGTGGGTTCAGGGTTCAGGGATCAGGGCCAAGTTGCAGGCAGACGTGGAAGGTGCCTTGACGGCTTCGGTGGGGGCCCCAAGCCCAGCTGGCAGGCCTGGTGACTCAACAATCCGGGATGGGGAGCACGGTGCCCCCACCCCCTCTGCTGCTCTCCCTCACAGAAACTGACGAATCGCCTGGTACAGGAAGACGGGAGCACCACCTGCATCACCCAAGGTGGCTCCACCACCTGCCCTGGGCAGCAGCACGGGCCAACTACGTGGGGTCTTCCTCCACGAAGTCCGAGGCCCCCTCACCACTTGCCACAGGCCTGGGTTCTGTTCACAGGCTCTCATCTTGATGTCTGGGGATGGGGGTGGTTGGGCCCCAGGTAGGGGTGAGGCCCAGACTCAGCCTCTGTGGGTGCAGTGGGAGGGCGGGCTCGTGACATTCCACAGAAAGAACAGGCGGCCTTACTGGACTTGGCATCCCGGAAGGCTGGGCTCCAGGTGGACAGCCAAGGCCCACACGGCCTCACTGCCAGGGATGCGCCTCCCCCTGCCCTCTGGAGGGGTCCTCCATTGATACCCACTGCCTCTTTTGTGCGAAGGTCCGGGCTTACTGGTGCCGGGGCCTCCGAAGCCCCAGGGTCTGTGAGGGGCCAGTTAAAGCGTTCCTGTGGCCCTGACAACCAGACTCCTTGGTCCAGGCCAACAAAGGCCTCACACCCTGAAGCTGCCTCAAACCTCGGCACCCAAAGTGCCCCGTTATTTCCACGTTGCAAACGCGCTGGGAGAAGCGCCTCGCGGGGTCCAGCGGGTGGACAGCCCTGGCCTCCCCGAAGGTGGAGACGTCCGGGTTCTCAGCCGCGAGAGGGGCGGGGCAGGGGCGCAGTGCTGGAGTCGGTGGCTTTGTAGGGCCCCGCAGGGCGCGGAGCCACCTGGGGAAACGGAAGTTCAGGGAGGGCGAGGCCGTGCCCCAAATCCAGGCAGCGCA